GACGCCTGTAGTCCCAGCTACTTGGGAGCCTGATGGAAGAGAATAGCTTAAGCCCAAGAGTTTGAGGTTGCTGTGAGCTCTGACTCCATGGCACTCTACTGAGGGTAACATAGTGAGACTCTGTCTCAAAAACAAACAAATAAAAAACTTTTGTCCTGTGGAAGACTCCATGTAGAAAATGAAAAGATATGTAAGATGACCTAAGATAAAATTATGAAACTAAAAATGCAATTAAAGAAGATGTAAGTAAGGCCAAGTGTGGTGGCTCATACCTCTAGTCCTAGCTACTCAGGAGGACAAAGTGGGAGGATCACTTGAGGCCAGTAGTTTAAGGCCATTCTGAGCAACATAGCAAGACCCTGTTACCACCCCCCCAAAAGGGTAAGATGGTAAAGTTTATGTTATGTGTATTTTACCGCAATTTAAACATTTTAAAAATTAATCATAGTGGCGCCTGTAGCTCAGTGGGTAGGGTGCCAGCCATGTATACCTAGGCAGGCGGGTTTGAACCCAGCCTGGGCCTGCTAAACAACAATGACAACTGCAACAAAAACATAGCTGGGCATTGTGGAAGTGCCTATAGTCCCAGCTACTTGGGTGGCTGAGGCAAGAGAATCGCTTAAGCCCAAAAGTTAGAGGTTGCTATGAGCTATGACGCTCTCTACCAAGGGTGTCTCAAAAAAAAAGTAATGAAAAAATAAATATAGGCTCAGTGCCCATAGTTCTGTGAGTAGGGCGCCAGCCACTTACACTGAGACTGGCAGGTTCAAACCCAGCCTGGGCCTGCTAAACAACAATGACAACTGCAACCAGAAAGTAGCCGGGCATTGTGGCGGGTGCTTGTAGTCCCAGCTACTTGGGAGGCTTGAGGCAAGAGAATTGTTTAAGCCCAAGACTTTGAGGTTGCTGTGAGCTGTGACGCCATGGTATTCTACCCAGGGCAACATAATAAGACTCTGTCTCAAATAAATAAATAAAATATGTGAGTCAGACATCATTTTCTGGGTAGAACTGTTATTCCTAGGAATGTAATCAGACTTTTCAGCAAAGACCTAAGCATAATAATTAACACTAACACTGGAAAAATAGGCTGAATGCAGGGGCTCATGCCTTTAATCTTAGCACTGTGGGAGGCTGGGGTCAGAGGATCACTTGAGATTAGGCAACATAGGGAGACCCAATCTTTAAAAAACAATTTAAAAAATTGTCCAGGCATAGTAGTATGCACTTATAATCCCAGCTACTCAGGAGGCTGAAGAAAGAGGATGACTTGTGCCCAGGAATTTGAGACCACAGTGAGCTATGATCAGGACACTGCACTCCAGCACAGGAGATGGAGTGCAACCCTGTCTCAAAATAAAATTAAAATGGGCAGCGCTCATAGCTTAGTAGGTAGAGCACCAGCCACATACACCGAGGCTGGCGAGTTTGAACCCAGCTCCAGCCAGCTAAACAACGACCACTGCAACAAAAAAATAGCCAAGTGCTGTGGCAGGCGCCTGTAGTCCCAGCTACTTGGGAGGCTGAGACAAGAGAATGGCTTAAGCCCAAGAGTTGGAGGTTGCTGTAAGCTGTGACGCCATGGCACTCTACCCAGAGCAACAGCTTGAGACTCTGTCTCAAAAAAAAAAAAAAAAAAGAAAAAGAAAATTAAAAAACTAGGAAAAAAATAGAAAATTTTACAATGATATCTAGCACTGAAAAAAGCTGAACATTTAAAATATGCTGGCTCGGTGCCTGTGGCTCAAGCGGCTAAGGCGCCAGCCACATACACCTAAGGTGGTGGGTTCGAATCCCCAGCCCGGGCCCGCCAAACAACGATGGCTGCGACCGAAAAATGGCCAGGCGTTGTGGCGGGCACCTGTAGTCCCAGCTACTTGCGAGGCTGAGGCAGGAAACTCACTTGAGCCCAGGAGTTGGAGGTTGCTGTGAGCGTGATGCCATGGCACTCTACCCAGGGGGATAGCTTGAGGCTCCATCTCAAAAAAAAAAAAAAAAAAAAAAAAAAAAAATAAAATATGCTTTTGTATGTATGTGTGGCCCTGTCTCTACCAAAAAAGAAAAAAACATTAGCCATTTGTGGTGCCCTGTACGTATAGTCAGGGGGCAGAGGTGGGAAGATAACTTGAGCCCAGGACTTTGAGGCCACAGTGAGTTGTGCTTGTACTACTGCACTCTAGCCTGGGTGACACAGTCTAGGAAGGAGAGAGAGAATCTTGTTGTCCAGGCTGGTCTCAAACTCTAGGCCTATCTTCCTGCCTCAGCCTCCTGAAAATATGTTGAAGTGTTTGTATTTCTTTCTTTCTCTTTTTTTTTTTTTTGCAGTTTTTGGCTGGGGCTGGGTTTGAACCCACCACCTTCGGGCCAGCACCCTACTCCTTTAAGCCACAGGCGCCACCCCAAGTGTTTGTATTTCTTCTGAAATTCTCTTTCATATTGTTTGTCTATTTTTTTTTCTACTGAGTTGTCTTTATCTTATCGAATTGTTGAAATCTTTTACAGATAAGTATCATTAACTCTTATTTTTTTCTGAGACAGGGTCTTTGTTACCCAGGCTAGAGTACAGTGGTATGATCATAGCTCACTATAGCCTTGAACTCCTGGGCTCAAGCCATTCTTTGGAGTAGCTGGGACTATAGGTGTACCTCACCACACCCAGCTCGTGTTTCTAGTTAAGGAGTCTTGCTCTTGCTCAAGCTGGTCTCGAACTTCTGACCTCAAGCCATCTTCCTGCCTTGGCATCCCAAAGTGCTAAGATTTACAGCTGTGAGCCACTGCACCCAGTTTTGTTAAATATTTTGCAAATATTTTCTTTTAGTCTGCATTTGGCTTTTGACTTTGTTTATAATTTCTTTAGTCCTACAGAAAATATTTAGTCTTCATGTGTTTAAATCAGTCTTTTTGTTTGTGGCTTCTGGGTTTTGTGCCAAACTTGGAAACTTCTTGGGAATACTTCAGTGTTACATCTAAATGTTGCCTGAGATAAATAAAACACATTAGTGTCTTCTTTTTCTCTTTTTTCTGCAAAGCTGCTAAGATCTTTTTTTTTTTTTTTAATTGTTTTGCTTGACTGTTCCCAAAGAAGACAGGACTTCTGTCATTTTCTTTTCTTTTTTTTTTTTTTTTGGAGACAGAGTCTCACTATATTGCCCTCAGTAGAGTGCTGTGGCCTCAAACTCTTGGGCTTAAGTGATTCTCTTGCCTCAGCTTCCAAAGTAGTTGGGACTACAGGTGTCCACCACAATGCCTGGCTATTTTTTTGTTGTTGTTGTTGTTTAGCTGGCCTGGGCTGGGTTTGAACCTGCCAGTCTGGCTGAATGTGGCTGGTGCTGTAATCACTGTGCTACAGGTGCCAAGCCAGGTGCTAAGATCTCTATAGAGCAGTTCCTGACGTGATAAACTGCTTTCTTCCCCAGTTCCTGGGCATGCCCTGTGCATTCCTGGTCCCCAGACCTTGGCTCCGGCTACTTCTACACCTTAAGCACCCTTCTTTTCCTCCTCCCTCTGCTCCTGCAAATTCCTGCTTATCCTGTCCTACCCTATCCACAGCATTTCCTTTTCCCTTGAAAGGTAGTCCCATGAGCTCCCAGGCTATTTCTGAAACCAGTGAGGTTGGACTGAGTCTGTCCTCTCCCCAGCCAGATATGAGCATTTTCATATCTCTGAGGGGAGAGTGGTTGGCTGTGATAGCGTGGAAACTGGGGCTTAGGATGCTGATGAAATGAAATGTCCCTGCCTTCTTTCTAGAAAGGCCTTTGGCCAGGCATGGTGGCTCATGCCTGTAATCCTAGCATGCTGGGAGGGTTGAGGAGGTATATTGCCTGAGCAAGAGCAAGACTCCATCTTGACTGAAAATAGAAAAACTAGCTGGGTATGGTGGCACATGCCTGTAGTCCCAGCTACTGGGGAGGTTAAAGCAAGAGGATCACAAGAGTTTGAGGTTGCTATGAGCTATGATGCCAGAGCACTCAACCCAGGGCAAGAGAGAGAGACTCTGTCTTAAAAAGAAAAAAAAAAAAATTAAAAACATAGAAAGGACTTTGGTGTCACAGCGGCTCTGCTGAGAGGCCCCTATGACTCTGGTGTTGGGCATGTGTGACTAAAGCTCTTGGAGGATACTCAGAACCACCCTTCGACCTTCTTTAGGGACTGGCAGTAGTGAGTGGCTGACCAGACTAAGTAATGGTGGCTCAGGGCCCTGTGTGTAGCTAGGGGCCCACAGTCTAGGGCCAGGAGTGAGGGTATGATTGGGCTTGGATCTGGGATGTATTGGGGCCTGATATGGAACTTGTTGGGCTCAATTTGGAGCCAAGATAAGGAATTTCATCTGGGCTCTGACCAGGGCCCAGTGCCAGAGTGGGGCAGAGGCCTGTGGGAGCTCTAGGCCTCCTGTGCAGGTACAGGGCCCTCTTGGTGTTCAACATCCCTTGGCTCTGATCTCAGACCTCTGCTGTGTGCTTTGGGGGCCTGGCTCTGGGTGATCTCTAGAGAAGGCAACAGGACCAAGCTGGGTCTAGCAATCACTTGCTGACCTTTGCTGGAGTCATGTGGGATGCGTGCAGCTCTAGCCTGGACCCATGGAGGGTCCAGACCCGCTGGGCAATGTCAGGAAGTTGCTGCCCTTCTTGGCTTTCTGTTCAGTCATTCTGCTAATATTTTTACCCTTTGATGCCCTGGGCACTGTTGTCAGTATCCCCAACATTCAAAGGTAGCAGGTGTCCCAGGCCTGTTTTGTGCCTGTGGAGGTTCCTGTGGGTTTTTCCCACTCTGCCTTTTCCCTTCTTTGAGTCCCAAGGCCAGCTGGGCCATGTCCCTCTACCACTGTAGTCTCAACTAGGCATGGAAGCCCAGAGTCCCTATGACTGTCGGCCCCTAGTCCTCCTTCTGGCCAGGGAGGGGAAAATCAGGGCAACCACTGGAGGTAGAAAGGAGGGTAGGAGAGTGTTTTAGGTTTAGAGGTCCTCTTATTTCACCCCAATCACAGACACACAGACCCAGAGCAGTGCTCAGCTTTCTATTAGAGATTCTGCCTCCCCTGGGATAAACATCCACTTTACATGCGTCGTCTGGAACACAGTCCCGTGGTGAGTGGGCATGCTCTGGTGGCTGGACATGGTGCAGGGGAGGGGTCTGGTGTCCTGTCCTCTGAGGGGGGACTTTGGTGAGCTTATGTTTGTGTGTAGGTGCACACAAAATGGTGTCCAATACAAGGACACAGAGCCTCTTCCTCTTGGGGGGCACACAGGGCCCCTTCCTGCTGGGTGGCAGCCTAGGAATGGGCAGGCTACACTGAGGCCTGCACTCTGTTGAGGAGCCTTTTCTTGGTGCTTCTGGCCCATCTCCCCAGAAGATGGTATCTCCTTGGAGGGGGTCAAAGACTCCCTCTCAGGTCTCTGGGGTCATGGTGGGAACACCAGCCCTGGGCCGGCACTGCACTTCTCTTGCTCTGTTGCCTCCACTGGGAGCTGGGACCCTAACTCCTTGAAGGGTCTTGTAGGGTCGTGGGCATGGAGCTGGTACAGACGTGTGGGGGAGAGGGGGTGACTGGGATGGGGGCCTGGGTGTTGGGAGGCCTGGGGTGCCTAGTCGTCTTTGTCCTTGGCGCCATGTTTGAGGATGCGGGTGAACTCCACGTAGTTGAAGTTGCCTTTCTTATCAATGGGTGCCTCACGGTACATCTCGTCCACTTCCTCATCTGTGAAGCGGTCACCCATGGTGGTGAGCAGCTCCCGTAGATGGTCCTCGTGGATAAAACCTGGGGGTAGGGCCAGGCTCATGACAGCAGGAACTTGGGCTGAATGCATGCAGCACCCCCTGCCCTCAGCCCCCCTCTAGCTCTTGCAGACCTGGAAGGGCCAGAGAAGCATAACTCTAGTCTGCAGTCAGTTTGAAGGCGTGAGGACATGGCAGGAGGGCTTGCCAGCGTCCCAGAGGGGTGAGTTCTGCAGTGGGACTGTCTATGAGGAGCTTCTGTGGGCAGCGTGGGGCTATGAGTGTGTGTGGGGGTGCTGGGTACATCTGCCCAAAGGGCAGGAGCTCTGAAGTTCACCATCTGGGCTGAAGCTGCTTCCCATCCTCCCTGGCCTTGTGCTTCTGAGCAAGGTTCTGAACCTCTCTCTGCCTGTTTGATCTGGAAAATGGGGATTAAAATATGCCGGCCTGCTGGGGGATTGTGAAGGTAGTCAGGAACATGCTGTGAATGTGCTTAGGCCCGTGAGCTACGGTAGTGTTACTGCTGCCATCCTCACCCTGATGTGGCAGGTGCTGAGTGGAAAAGTCAGCTGTGGGAGAGAAAGTCCTTTGGAAGATCTGAAGATAGGGGCTAGTTTCACTACCTTATTGTCAAGAAAGACATGGAATGGTGTGCTTTCTGGAAAGATCTAATGCAGAAGCAGAGTATGTATTAGACCAATAGATGAGATCAAGGAGTCAGGTGCCTTGATGGGTATGGCTCTTCTGGCCTAGCATTTTGGGGAGAGACAAGCAGGCTTCTGGCGGCAGAAATGGGATGGTGACGTCTGTTCTGGCCTTTGGGGTAGGGGCCCTGAAGGCCTAGGGCAGGTTGGGTTCCACCACCACCAGCTTCTGGCCGATCCCTCCTCACATGCAAGGATGTGCCACTGACCTGAGGCCTCCTCGTCAAAGCAGGCAAAGGCGTTGCGGATGACGTCCTCGGGGTCTGTGCCATTCAGCTTCTCCCCAAACATGGTAAGGAACATGGTGAAGTTGATGGGCCCTGGGGCCTCACTCATCATGCCTTCCAAGTATTCATCCGTGGGGTTCTTCCCTGTGGTAGGTGGGACGTTCGTGCCTGCCATCGCCTGGCCCTGTGCCCCAGCCTGGACAACTCCTGCCTCCCCATCCCCACCCTTCAAGGCCCCCTGGGAGAGATGGGAAGAAGTGTGATTGTGAATTGTAAAGCCCAGTGCCCAAGCAGCGGAGTTGGGGCCATTTCCTCCTCTGGTGTGGATATCAGTGGTCAGGAATGCTTTCTAAGGACAGTAGAACAACTGCCTGCTGACTGCTCACTGTGTCTGGAGCACCAGGTGCCTCATTGCATTAACTCTTACCATCCTGTGTAGTCAGCATTCTTACTCCCCTTCAGGAGTGAAACCCAAGGCAAGGAGAGATGAAGTCACTCGTCCAAGGTTACATAGCAAATAAGGAGTGGACCCAGCATTTGAACCCAGGCAGCCTAACCCCAAGGTCCAGGCACAGTGCTTTGCTGTCACACAGGCACCTGGTTGTCAATTCCAGCTCTTGCCTCGGTTTCTCCCATCTTTTAGAATTATGAAGATGATTAAAACCGTGTTTGCAAAACACTCATATTGGTGATTGGCACATCTCTACCAGTTAGTAGCTGTGTGAGCTTAGGTAAATTACCCTCTGCAAGCCTCAGTTTCCTCATTTGTAAAGTAAGAATAACAGTCACATCTATCCAATAGGATTGCTGGGAAATTTAAGATAATTCCGGCAGGGTGGCTTCTGCTTATTATTTTATTTGCTCTTTCGTTCTTTAGGCTTTTTTTTTTTTTTTTTT